TCGCATTAGGAGTGCCGCGGGGAAGGGCCCCTGCCTCTGGGTAGCCATAGTCCAGCTGCTCGTTGAGGGGCAGGAGATCGACATCGTGCATCGCGATGTAGTCGGTGTCATTGCCGCTCTCCAGGAAGCCCACGTTGATCAGGGACGCCCTGTTAAACCTGCCACGGGACCAGGGACTCTCAGTGCCTTGACACACAGCAGCTGCCGTCCCTTCACATCCCTGTCCCGTGCTCCTCAATGCTAAATGTTCGACCGGTCCCCAAACGGGGACACACGATCGACATCGTGCATCGCGATGTAGTCGGTGTCATTGCCGCTCTCCAGGAAGCCCACGTTGATCAGGGACGCCCTGTTAAACCTGCCACGGGACCAGGGACTCTCAGTGCCTTGACACACAGCAGCTGCCGTCCCTTCACATCCCTGTCCCGTGCTCCTCAATGCTAAATGTTCGACCGGTCCCCAAACGGGGACACACACAAACACGGCATTCCCTGCCTTCACAGAGCCAGGTGCCATGGCTGCCTGTCCTGAAACTGCACCCCTGCTTCTCCCTGCGCAGGCAGCACACACTGAACCCAATGGTGACACGCAGGGGTTTGGCCACTGCAGACAGCAAGGGGCTGCAGCAAACCCTGTCCTGCTGGAGGCCGCCTGGGGAGCTGCACAGCACCCACCAGGGCTGTGGGCAGGTACCGGACAGCAAGCAAGGGGTGAGCAACGGCATTTCAGAACACCCCACGGTATTTCTTTGAATTTTGGCGTCCCAAGATGTTTGCTGCTATAGACCTGTGACACTGAGAAGAAAGCTGAAATATCTGGGGGTAGATAATTCTCTCCTTGCTTAGGAAGAGAGAAGCAAAATATGGTTTTGTCCTTCTGTAAGCTCTAGAGTGAGTAAATCTGGGGAGAACACCACACCCCAGCCCTGACTCCCCACTGCCCAGGCCACCAGAAGCAAGTGGGAGACCCTCCCCGCGCTCACTGGGGGACAGAGTTTTGGAGAATGGCCCCCTCGCCGCCTTTGCTCGCTGCGGCAAGTGGAGACACTACCTGAAACGATCCACCTGGTTGAGGATGAAGATGTGATGGCGGATCCTTTTCTTGCTCAGGAAGCGGTGCATGTAGGGCACGAAGGCCAGCAGCTCCTCGAAGCGCTCCCGGAAGGGGACGAGCAGCGCCAGGCGGTGGGGACCCC